GAGAAGTGAAGATGACATATGATAATAATGAACTGATTTGTTTAGCAAATGTAAAAACTAGTCGTACAGAACATCATTGGTATGACATCTTTACAGGCTGGTCACCAAAAGCCACCAATGTGCTGCGACTAATGTTACATCCTATGGTCGTACTCTTAATAATCTCTGTATTGTTATTTTTTGTAACCCTGATATTGATCTGTTATCTGAAAAATCGAATAGTACACATGAATGGAATCTTAACTCAAGTTAAATCCCATACTAACTTATTGTAAATTGCCAGTCTCACATGTATATATGTTCTTACCTTCACTGTGCATAGGCAAGAGAGTTGGTCCTTCATACAATGAATGTATTAAGCTCACTGTGTAACACCAGCAAACGTTAAATGTTGGTCTGAGCCAAGGGGTGGAATGTGACCGACCAACAACCCCTACAATGGGAGAAGGCTCAGAGGGCAAGGTGCCTCATAAATCTCAAGGACAGTGTAGGATGCAGCTCACTAACTGCAGCTGTTGCACAGAGAACTAACGTTATCTCAAGACAAAGGGGACCGAAGGGTGGCCTTCATCTTAGATAAGCAGCCATATCTGTTACCTGGACCTGGTGTAAGTGTTTTTTTTTTCCTGAGCTGACCAAAAGGATCTGAATATCTCCTTGAGATTTGCCAGACCAGCATGGGGGAAGTGTATATGTGGCTCAGCCCAACAGAGAGTATAAAACCTCAACAACTAACAAAGAAATTTCGAAGAGAGCAATGGGCTTGAGCTGGTATCAGCCCATGTATTCCTTCCTGGCAATTGGGGACGCCCAGCATCATGACGGTGAGCATATTTGAGATCGATAACGGCAATCAATCACATTGGTATTGTGATTGAACCATCTAGCTAGATTTTGTTAAGCGTATACACTTGTATTGTGATACACTTGAGTTGTGATTTCAGTATATTGCTGAATCACTGTGCTAAATCAAAATCCTGTGTAACATCAAATTCCCTCAAAAATAAACTTTTATATGAATCATTGCACTCTCCATATGCGTGGAATATCTGAAAGAACCTGGTCAGAGAGTACTGGACTCTGACATCGTCCAGCTTCTAAAACCTGGATATAAATGAAATATGGAAAGGTGTACAGAAGACTATTTCTGCCCATTCTCCAGATTAAGAAGAGGAGAATTTTCATTCATCAGCTACCTAAATTAAATTTAAGAAGTGGGAAAAAGCAAAATTCAAACAGTTCAAATTTACGCCCACACAATTATGCTCAGGAAGTGTATAACTATTACAAAGTCTAAAACAGAACAGGTTTAGATGACCATGTATTAAAACAACAGTGACTGCTGATGCTCTGTGTAGCCTAACACTTCTTATCAGCACATCCTATATTAGAGCTACTCAAGTTATAGCAATTGTTAGAAACTTCAGAAAAAGTGTCTACTGGCTGCAGAATCCAAAAAATTAGAGTTGATGAAAGGTTAAAAAAAATGGAAAAGCGCTTTTTTCACATACTGAAAGCTAATTTTTTTCGGACAAAACCATGGCTGCATAATGGGCTGCATAACAAGAGCAGGACTGCTCCATGAAGGGGGACAAATCAGAAGTCAAGGGCGACCACAACACAGGCAATGCTCTTACTGATCAGGGTGCTGTCCCGCGGCATCTGAGGAGGGTGGGCAGAACAGGGTCCATCAACAGTCCCAGACAAGGCAAGGTGATGAATCAGGTCCAGGGCCCATCCAGAAAGTCAAGCTAGGAACGGCAGGAGACAGGGCGAGAGACAGAACTGGAAACAAGGCTATGACATATTTCAGAGGTCTATCCAGGAGGCAGGACTGGAGACGAATACACCTACAGCATAGCACAGACAAGGAATGGGGACCCAGGCCTGAGCTGAAAGGGAGCTCCTGGGCTCATGGGCAGAGGGCACCTGGGTAGGGAGGCACTACACTCTCTCTGTTCTCTCACTACTCTCTCTCTCTCTCTCTCTCTCTCGTCTTGATCCAATCTCTCTCTCCCCTGCCCCGCTCTTTCTCTCACCTTGACTTGCTTTCTCTCGTCTCGCTCACCTTCAATATCTCTCTAGCCTTGACACTCCCTCTCTCACCCTCACCTTGACCTCTCTCCCTCTCTCACCTTGACTCTCTCTCATCTTGACTTTCTCTTGCCTTGACTCTCTCTCCGTCTCTCTCATGCCATGACTCTCTTTCTCTCTCCCCTTGACTCTCTTTCTCCCCTTGACTCTTTTCCTTTCTTGCCATGACTCTCTCTCCCTCTATCCTTGAGTCTCTCTCTAGCCTTGACTCCATTTCTTTCTCTTTCTCTCTCTTACCTTGACTTTCTATCTCTCTCCCCATGACTCTCTCACCTTTTCTGTCTCTCCTGCTTTTACTCTTGCTCTCCCTCTCGTCTTGACTCTCTCTCTCTTGCCATGACTCTCTTTCTCCCTTTCTCTCTCTGTCTCTTTCTCTCAACATGACTCTCTTCCCCTCTCTAGCCCTGACTCTCTCTTTGTATCTTTCACCTTGACTCCCTGTCCCTCTCTCTTGCCTTAACTCTCACTTTTTTGCCTTCACTCTCTCTCTCTCTCCTTGACTCTCCCTCTAACACTCTCTCTATGGCCTTGACTCTCTTTCTGTCTCTCTGTCTGTCTGTCTGTCTCTCTCACCTTGGCTCTCTCTCTTGCCTTGATTTTCTCTCTCTGTCTCTCTTGCCTTGACTCTCTCACTCTTGCCATGACTCTCTCTCTCCCTCTCTCCTTGAGTCTCTCTCTAGCCTTGACTCTCTTTCTCTCTCTCTCTCATCTTGACTTACTCTCTCATGTTGACTCTCTTCCTCACCTTTACTCTCTCCCACCTTGACTCTCGCTGTCTCTCATCTTGACTCTCTCTCTTGCCTTGACTCTCTCTCTTTCTCTCTGTCTATTGTTAAAATTATCTTTTCTCTTTTGTTTGTTTGCAGGCACCAGTAATGAGCAGCAGGAGTCAGACTTCTTAGTTGCTAAGTTTTTATTGCTAGCAATAAGGTGTCTCTTGGCTGGGAGCGCAAGAAGGCCCCCGAGTAACTTTTTGTTACAGTTCTTAAGTGAAGGTAAATTGTTACATATTCAATACTTCATTTTACATAACCAGTCAGATCTGTCCATGATTCTTAGTTTTACCAATCCCCTTGCCATGTTACAGTACGAAGTAGTTCCGTTCCAGCCTTAAATGGTCCATCTTATGATTATTCATTAGCTGATTTGCACCACTTCTGGCATTACCTTTGAACAACTTTTGTACTGTTGGCTGGATTAAACTGGTTTCTTTGTAGTTCTTCAACTATGTACGAAAAACAGGGCTGAGGCAAAGTCAGATGAGATGTTCTGTTTGCAGGGTGCATGACCTTGCATGTTCTGTCTGCAGAAAACTAGAGTACAGTGGAAATTTCCTTAACACTATCTTTCCTTGACTCTTTCTCTAACACTCTATCTCCTTGACTCTCCTTCTGTCTCTCTCTCTTCTTGACTCTCTCTCTCACATTGACTCTCCTTCTGTCTCTCTCTCTCTCCCTCCTTGACTCTCTCTCTCACATGGACTCTTCCTTTCTCTCTCTCATCTTGACTCTCTCTCTCACGTTGTCTCTCTCTCTCATCACGACTCACTCTCTCTCTCTCTTGCCTGGACTCTCTCTCACCTGGACTCTCTCTCTCTCTCTCATTGACTATCTCTCTCTCTCACCTTGACTCTTTCTCTCACCATGACTATCTCTCTAGACCTGACTCTCTCTTGCCTTGGTTCTTTCTCACCTTGTCTCTCTCCCTCTCTCCTGCCTTGACTCCCTCTCTCTCGCCTTGACTCTCTCTTTGCCTGTCTCTCTCTCCTTTTCTCTTTCTCACCTTGACTCTCTCTTGCCTTGAATCTCTCTCTCGTCTTTACTCCCTCTCTCTTGCCTTGACTCTCTCACCTTGACTCTCTCTTGCCTTGAATCTCTCTCTCGTCTTTACTCCCTCTCTCTTGCCTTGACTCTCTCACCTTGACTCTCTCTCTCCCCTTGACTCTCTCTCTTGCGTTGACTCTCTCTTTTCCACTTTGACTCTCTCTCTCTCACCATGACTCTCTCTCTCAACCTGACTCTCTCTTGCCTTGATTTTTTCTCTCTTTCACCTAGACTGTCTCTCACCTTGACTCTCTCCCTTTCTCTTCCTCACCTTGATGCTCTCTTGCCTTGACTCTCTCTCGTCGTGTGTCTCTCTGACTTTGTCTCACCTTGACTCTCTGACTCTCTCACCTTGACTCTCTCTCTCTTTCTCTCTCTCTGTCTCTGCTTGACTCTCTCTCTAACACTCTCTCTATCTCCTTGACTCTCTGTCTCTCACTCTCTTGCCTTGACTCTGTCTTGCATTGGCTCTCCCTTTCTCTCTCTCATCTTGACTTTCTCCTTGACTCTGTCTCTCACTCTCTCGCCTTGACTCTCTCTCTCTCTCCTTGACTCTCTGTCTCTCTACCTCTTGCCTTCACTCTGTCTCCCTCTTTCGCCTTCACTCACTCTCTCTCCCTCTTTCACCTTCACTCACTCTCTCTCTCTCTCTTTCTTGCCTTCACTCTCTCTCTCTCTCTGTCTTTTCAAAACTATAGCTTTGAACTCTTAGGTGCTTTGGAGAGTAAACCCTAGAAGCCATTTTTCTGCCTACTTTGGACATTTCTTTCAACATCTGAAGTATCCTAAAGCTGTTATTTTGAAAGCATATTTCATATTATGGCAACACTTTGATCAATAAGGATCTTCTATATTCTGAGTTCAAGGTACAAGAGTGCCAGATCCAGTAAACAACCCCCTTAGTTTGGGATATGAATAAACAAACAACAAAATGGACTCTTACTCTACTTACACAGTGCAGACCAGTAAGAGCGAAGGAGGAGTAAAGGAATGCAGTGAAGGATGTGATTTTAGGGTGTTTTACATCTCAAATCTGCTTGCAAAACATGAAAGTGGCTATCATAAAAAATGTACAGTAAATCAGGAGACCATGCTTTTTGCATTTGTATCTTGCTAGTTGGTGAGTTTTATTTGAAGGCATAAATATATACAAAAGTGTCTACAATTAAAGCTGTGTGGTGATGGAAAGTCTTCTGATAGGTAATTCATTCTGCATTGAGGTATGCCTACCAATAGGAGGAGTGAAAACTGAATGCAGCTGTTACCAAAAATCTATTGAATTCAGTAGACCACACAGAGCTTAGATGGAAGGGCTTCTGAAATCTCTGGGGCAGGGAAGAATATATAAGCTGTAGATCCACTGCTCCCCCTCCAGCAGTTAGCAAAGCATTTCCACCCCACCTTATTCTGCTTTGCTCCCCTCTGCACCTTCATAAAAATTACTTCCAGCTCTCTTGTAATGCTGTAATTACTAGCTGACTCCCAAACATCCATATGTTGAGCAGTCTTGTTTTACAACTTTCTAATGTGTAAAAGCCATTATTTTTCATTCAGATGATCTATATGAAATTTATGAAATATGCTTATGTAGCCTCCAAGGCCAGAATTCTGCAAACACATAATACATTTCTCAAACTTTGCAATGTTCTTTCAAATCTCACGTTTCTCAAGCATTTTTGTATGGATTGTTCAGCTAGCTGTGAATTTTCAGTCTCTCTGCTTTCCTGTGCTACTTTTGATTACACATTTCTACCTGTTTCTTCAATATTTCTTTTTTCAGGGCCAAGTTTTGTCCTCAGTGGGTTTAATTGCTTGCTCCACTACATTTTTTTTTTGGTTACCTTGGGCAAGTCATTTAATTTGTTTTATGTGTAAACTCCTTTCTGGATTGTGGTCAACTTGCATAAATTATAGAACAGTCAGGACAAGAACCTGATATAGAGGCTTGAGGACAATCAGAAAATTCCTCTACAGGCATTGGTTTATTTCTAGCAGTGAAGAAATCTCCTTTCAGGCAAAGAATTAAGCACATCGATTTCAGTAAAATTACTCCTTAATGACTTGCTTGCACATGTGATCAGAAACTGTTCTGGTTACATTGGTGGAAATCCAGAGCAAGTTCACTGAACTCGTACATTATGCAGGCTTAAACTGAATACAGAATTTGATTCTGCATTTCTTCATTTGTTTAACAAGAATATTTCCTTCAAGAAGTATATGATTGTGAGGAATTAAAAAATCCTAAATATTTCCTTGTAGATCTCTCAACAAGACTTTCCACTCTGAACAGGTTTCCTTATGTATCCCTAGAGGCCTTTAAACATTTTTTTAAACCTTCTATACTGTAATATTGTGCATAGCTAAGACTCCCTTTTGCATTTATCTGTTGTCATTACTACCTCCCATTGAGGTAGTTGATGGTGAGTTGTAAACCATTTCATATTGTTTTGTAAAACATCCAGCCATCACTGTTAAAGATCATTGCCATTGACTAGTGGTTTAAATATGTTACCAGATAAAGTGCTCATTTTCTATTTTATTTTATTCCTGATTAGAAGTGGACAACCCAATAAAACCTCATAACAGGACTGTACTTGGGCCATACTACTTGGCTTTTGCTCGGCTTTGTATGTGTAAATGTAGCTGACTCAAAAAAGACCCAATCCAGTGAGAGCATTTTGCCGTTAGTTCCTGGCAGCCAGAGTGGCATTACAAGGCAGTTTATGTATATTCCTTGTATGTGTAAGATCAGCTGTAGGCTCAGTTTAAATATTAGCTTCTGTTCAGACCAGTGTCTTAGTGCTGTAATCAAAGTGTCTGGCTTGGAAAGAGACTGGGCCATGATTTTATAGATCATATGCATAAGGAAATGAAAAGCTCTCAAATAAGAAAAAAACAGAGTGATAATATCTTTAAAAGGTACTTTGATTTCCTTTACATGCCAGAATTAACAACTGTGTAAATGGCCATCAATATTAGTTGTTTCAAGTAGTTGTTTGTTTTAAATATTTCAAGCCCAGTAATAGGACATACTCTCTTAGAGGGCCCATCTGAAAATCAGTCCATATAGTTAGGTCACAAAATATGAATTTGGATAAGTTAATTTTGGACAACTATGTTTGAAATGTTGAAAACAATTTAATGACTGCCCAGGCGACTTGGTAAAAATTTCATTTTCATATATAAGATGTATCTGCACTGTATAATAGAACATGGTACAGAGAGTCCCAGGCAGTCTTCCCTTGAGTCTCGTATGGAATCAACAACAGTATAGCCATGAAAGATAGCTCTTATTAGCTCAGGTGCAGTGTTGCACCAACACAGCTACATTGCTTCCAGAGTAGCTGTCAAGACCCTGAGTTCAGGGCCTTAACTGCCCTGAACAGCCTCACCTGGGACCCTCTGCCCATGGGTCCCAGAGCTCCATTTCAGCCTGCCTGTACTGGAGTCACCCTTGGCTCCTGGCCCCCCTCCTGCATGGGGCAGCCTGTCCTTGCTGATCCTTGACACTAGGTCTGTGTTGTGTGGAAGTCCTGGCTCATATTGTTTCTAGCTGAGGGATCTCTGCACTTCATAGCATGATGTAATTATGTGTTGAGGGACCTGAACATAGGGATTGGTGTCTCCTGGGATTTTCTAGAAGCACATAAATACAATATTTTAGCAGACATTAAATGTGCAAGGACTTTTAAAATCTCAGTAGGTGACCAAGTGCATCTTTAGGTAGTTAAGTATCTTTAAAAGATGATCCAATTGTCTGTCACTTTTCCAAAGATGAAACTCCACCCTGGGTTTATCTGGAGAAGCTATGCTAAATGCATAAGTTAAAGATGCAGTTTGTGACCTATATAATTATTCTATGGTGAACCCTAGTTTAGTAATACTGGATAGTACTGGCAGGAAACTGCCTTACACTTCTACAATCTTCTTCTTCTTTGCACCAGATTCTTTGTACTTTCATATTGATATAACTGCATCCATATGCCACAGTGAAGTCAAGGGGTGATTATTTTAACTGTGATTCCAAGATGAAAAAAATAGTGGCACCAGTTTGTCACCTACTAGCTCCAGGTTGTTCTCTGATTCTGTCTGTCAACTGAAGGTTAAATCTTTAATTTTTAATTTTGATGTTTTAAATGGATGCAATAACATCAAAACTCCCTCAATTTGCTAGATGTCAGGTAAAGAGCAGAGGTGCTATTTCTTTAAAGCAGAAAAAAACCCAGCAATATTGGTTTATAACAGACATATTAAATAACATCCTTTCCTCCAAATTTGAGTCTGATTTGCAAATCTTTTTTGGAGTAATCATTACTCAACTGAGTAGTTTCAGTGAAGTAGTTAAAAAGACTATTAGGGTGAATAAGGTTAGATCATAGAACCATTTTCAGAGTTGCACTGATGTACAATCTAGGAAATGAACTGGTTCAGTTCTGTTCTAAGTCGAGAGGAAAATAATTTTGTCCAAATACATCAGAAACAGAAATCAGTGCAGAAAGACTTGTAAGTGCTATCCACCTCCATTCTTTGCTGTAGAATCCCCTGTTATGGGTCTGAATGTGGATTATGAGTCTAGGTCAGAAAATGGAAACATTTAAGGGAGTTTCAAAAAGAGAATGTCTCACTGTTATTTATTAAAAATAAATTATTTTCTCCCACAGCCTTATTTCATCTCATTCTCAGCCATAGCTCAAGCTGGAACCATCCAAGAAAACTCCCCTTCCTTCAGTGGAAGACTCCTGTATACTTCCATGTTTCTTCTATGGATGGAAATTACAGATCCAGGAGCCCCAATCATACAGTGTAGGAGATACCCCTTTGGCCAACTTCTCTATCTTGCTAAACACGTTCAGATATCACCAGCTGTGTTGGAACTACTGTTGAAAGCATAATAGCCGCTCTGTTTACCTACACTCTTACTGAAAGCTGTTTCATTTTATTTTGAAGTGACTTGCGTATAAAATCTGCTCTACAAATCTATGCTCTAATTCTAATAAAACAAAAATGTCAGAAACATGATAAAACAAGAAGACAAAACTAACAAATTGGATATAGTTTTATGATTTTTAGAAAAAATTCCATCAGATTCAGAAGGGACTTTTTTTTAAAGTGACTTCAGTGTAACAGCTAGTAGGAACATAGACTTCTTGGAGCCAAAAAGCAGTTCTTTTGCACATCTGATTTTTTTGTTTTGTAATATTAGATCTGATCCTGCCAGGCCCAAAGAACACCTCCTTTCTCAGAAAATAATGTCAGTAAGAAAGGAAAAAAACAATCCTACTCTTATAGCCTTTTGAGAAAGCTGGGTTGAATAAATGTATCTATGTATACCTTGTCTAGAAATAAGTTATCATGGCTCTTACCTTGAAAGACAGTAGTCATCTTTGCAGACCTATAGAAAGGGATGTGCTGCCTCTGCTCCTACCATGGTTCTTGAGAAGTAAATGTACACTCAGGATTATACCCACTGCGACTGCCCTTCAAAGCTATAGCTAAGAATCACTTGTGTTCTTATACAGAAGTCACCAATCTGAGCATACACAAAACTTATAATCATACTAATGGTTTCCAGAACAAACTTGGGGAGACTACTTCAATACTTTGCAGAAGAAAAGGCTGAAGGAGGTGGGCAAGAAATAACTCCAACATGTTTTTCAGTTTGCATTTGACTGCTTTGGTTGTCTGCCTTGTTTCCACTGACACAGAAAACAAACCAAACTATAATGTGACTCGCACCAAAAATTGTCCATTGTATATTTTCCTCAGCTCAAACTAAGGTGGAAAAAATGTTTAATCCCTATCTGGTACACCCCAAATGGAACATAATGCATTACACAGAAAGGATGATGTCCCCAACTACTACCTCAGTATAGGAAGCAAATATATTCTTCATGATGTCAAACCATTATGTAAATGAGGAAGGAAAACAAATAGGCAGACAAGATCTTTCAAGAGTTGCCCAGAAATGTAGAAAGATACTGTAACAGGATTTACCTTCTAGCTAGCAATATTTATTGAGGACAGGAGTTCAAATATGACAGGATTTTGAACTGTACCTATTCCAATATACATTTCCTTAATAAAAATAATGTCTGTTTCTGCATATTTTGGGGAAAAGTTCTGTAGTAGTGAAGTTAATTGAAGTTGTGGGTACACAGAGAAAATACAAGACTCTTAGGGCTGATATTACAATCACCGAATATGGAAGTAATCCTTTAGACCTGTTTCATAAAAGAATCCATATCAAAGATAGCATTTTTGTGCCTACCACATAATTGCTGTTAGCAACATAGATAGTAGAACAGATTCACAGTATCTCTGAAAATGAAACTGCATATTTATGAGCTCAAATACCAATTAAGATATATAATTTTGATATTGTGGTATTCTTTATAAATTCTATTTCCTTCTTCCTTGATTAGTTAGTACTGATTTTATTATTTAAAGTTGAAAGATCATGTAACCAGATTTCAGAATTAAGTTAACAAGAGTTAATTTTTTACCCTTCCTCCAACATGTATTGGAAATTAAACCTAATTTTAAATGAGGGCTGTAAGAAAAATAAAATACAATTCAGGAATGTTTCAATCCAGTTTTGACTGAATGAGACATTTCTCCTTGAATTGTAAAATTATTTTAATAGTATGCATTTTTCACTCCAAAGTTATAGAGAAGATAGTCTTGGAGCCTTTTGAAGAACCATCATTTCTCTTTTAGTAACAAATTTGAAATGCGTGAATGTTGAATCTTTCAACACAGGCTAGGAAAATAACTACTGAGTTTCTCTTTTGTTCAGAGATATTTTCTCCTCTATTTCATGTACTCATTTCCCATTTTCATATGCTATCACGAATCTCCAAGTATTTGGGATATGAAACTGTAGGAGAATATTTTACAATAATAAAAATTCCAGAAACAGTTTTTAAATTTCCTTTGTGCCACATTGGATTGGGCAATATATTTTTAAGTACTTGTTTGTGCTTTGCATCTAATTATGATAATTTAAATAGATCAGAAAATCAGTTTTACAGCTCAGGAGAATAAAATGTCCTTTGACTATACCTGTAAGATAATTTTTGGACAATTTACTGATTTAATTTTGTCTACTCTATTAAGCTGTTCTCTTGGCTCTCCACCTCCACCAAAATACAGAAAAAGGGTTCTACTTTCTACTACATTCAATTGCTTATTGTGCTGCCTGACTGTTATGGTGTGGTCACGGTTATCTGATCTTTCTTGAAATGAAATATGGGTGCCCTCCACCCATACCGATTCTCTAACATAGATCAGACAACTAGTGCTGAACATTTGCTATCTCTTGATAGCAACTAGTTGGATTGCATTTGCTGTTATAAAGTGCATAGACTTTATAATCCCATGTATATGCATTTCAGTAAATATTAACTACATTTTCTATTTTAAGTCTGCTAGTTGCACCACGTGTTTGTAGAAACTTTACTTATTAGCTCCAGTGCAATCCAGTGGACTGCCAAAAACAAAGTTGTAGACAATTTCACATACCTCCATACCTGTATGAACAGCTGCTACTTGGGTTTCTGTCATTACACACTCAGTGGATGCTTCCACATACAACTGCAGGCAGCTCTACAGATGCCCCATTGGGGAAGACTCTTTACAGTTGGCTGTGTGGTTCATTGAGATGTCCACGAGGGAAGGGGAAATTAATTGATTTTTTTCTCTTAAACCCTCCTCATTCATATTGTCACTGCGTGAACCTTGTACATTTCAGTCCCCCCCCCTTTATTTGTATGCAGTCTCCTGTGTTTATTGGGGGGGGAACTCCCCTCCCCCTTCTAATAATAAAAAGTCAAGATCCTCCTGAACTTCTCAGGCAAGCAAAATAGACCAGTATCCCTCCTCATCCCTGCTTGCTGCTGGGGCAAGGACTCTAGACATTGGTTACATTCCGGCAGTTTTAACCCGGTTTTTATTGTCAGATTCGAGCAGTTGCGCGATGTTTGTCCCCGTCCCTGCCCCTTTCCCCTCGGTAATCTGTTACTTTACAGTACTACACTAGAGTTGTGGTGGTATTGAATAGACTGTGAGGGCGACCAGAGGAGCTAGTGATTTACTTTCTGTGTGTGATTCGCTCTTTTTGTCCCCCTCCCTCCTTCAAGCAGTGTTAAGCCTGTATCTCAGCGTCAGGCTTGAGGTGCAGGGCGCATGCTCTAGTATCTTGGATTCAGTCGCTGGGGCTGCTGCTGGGGTTTCTGTTTAGTGAGAGAGAGAAAGAGGCAGGGAGAAAAAGAGAATGTCCGCCATCTACCCTTCCTTCCTGTGCGCGCCCTCAGTCACATTAGTTTCTTCATGAATTACAGTTAAGGGGTGCGCATGCGCGGGCGGGGGGGAAGTAAATACCCCAGCAAATCCCAGGGCCCCCAGGCATGGCCAGTTCGGTAAGTACGTACAATCCTTCTCGCTCCCCTCCTTTTTCTCTTCTCCTCTGTCCTGCTCTGCCTGGACACTGTTTAGTGCTTCCAATTAGAGAAAGGTTGGTGTGTTTTTTTTTTTTGGGGGGGGG